TTTATACATCATTAGGAAAACTTGCATTGAGTCTAACTTGTTTATATCAGCCAGGGGTGTTCAAAAAAACTAAGAACCGTTAACCATAACCGTTAACCGGTGTAACCGTTACATTTAACAGGTTAATTAACCGAACCGTTAATACTAAACGGTTCCGGTTAACCGAACCGCTAAAAATGATGGTTAACGGTTAAGGCTACGGTTACAAGTTTTAATAAACGGTTAACCATTAAGAAATTAAATTTATAATTATATTTCTAATTTATTATATTTTTACACAAATAACTTAATATAGTTCTCTATTATTTATAATATATATATATAATAAAATTTGTATAAACATAATTTAGTGTATATATATATATATATATATATATATATATATATCATATTTAATTTTTATTTCTTTGAAAATATAGAAATATTCTTACACCAACATAATTATGTGTTTATTGTTAGGTAATAAGATATTTGGAGATGTTCATAATTACACCCATGTAAATATGTGTTAAGTACTACACTTTTTTATTTTATTTACTTACATCGATATAAGTATTATGAAAAACTTGATAAATAATTGTAATAGGTTAACCTATGATTAACTTGTAACCTAACCGTTAATAATGGTTAACCGTTAGTGGTTAACTGTTTCTTAACGGTTAGGTTACTGTTAGAAAAATCTCATAACCGTTATAACAATTAACCGACCGTTTAGGCTAAACGGTACTATTAACCGTCCATGAACACCCTAATATCAACAAGATATTTTTCATTTATTATATTATTGACACGAACTTACTCAGCCTGAGGAGGTTCCTTTACAAAAGAGTGAAGAGTTTATAATGAAAAAAACTTTGAACTCAAATTTGTTGATAGTCCGACCAAATAAAAATAAAAATTGGTGTTTCATATCTTTACCTTATTCTTATTTTACAAGAATGAGGAAAGAGGGTTACTATAATCATCATATTTTTATCAGACTATTATTATTATTAGTTGTAGTAAAATATATATAATAAACCAACATATAAACTAAGCCCATTAAATAAATACAAGTATTTCCCGAAACCCACTATAAGTAACTAAACCCAATTAGAAAACTCGAACCCCACACATGAAAAGGGAGGACGCTAGGGTTTTTCATCTCCATATTGAGCAGCCACCTAATAGCGGTTGGATCTATTTTGATCTAACGGTCTAGATCTTTTAATATTAGCGTTTCTCAAACCCTAGTACAATATCCTTAAGATGTCAAATTGCGCCGCCATCGCCAGGAGAAACCCTTCACCTTCCAGCAACGCCGATCATCAAGCCGTTGTAGTTTGAGCCATGACGTATCGCAAAAAATCCGGGGTCATTAATGTGACCTATGCGCGACAGGTGTGCCCCCTCTCTGTACGCTTCGTCGAAGTCCACCGTGGACATGCAAACAAGAAACAAAATCAGTGTGTCAAAAAAGTAAAAGAAATGAGAGCCTTTTCTCAATTTTCTTTTCTGTAATCTAGAGACTATATAAGATCTCATAAAAAAACGTTGTAAATGAGGAGAAGATTACACAAATATTTGAACAAAATACAAAACAACAAAAAAAAAGATTTTAAAAGGTATCTTTATTCCGTTCTTTACATTTCAGTATACATTTTTTTATTTTTCGTTCCAAATGCACAAATAATGGAAAGTTCAGGGCTTGATTTATTTACCTTTAGACGTGTGGGGTGCTTTCGTCGGGGCTTCTCCAGTCTCTATTTTAGTAGATAGAGAGAATATCAAGGTAATTTGGAGGACTATGAGGTTCGGTTTTTGGAATAAAACTAAAAAAGGAGAGCATCTTAAATTTCTAGGGCTTAAGTATGGGTGTCTCGACCACCACTGGTGGTGGTCGGTGTATAGTAATCATCCAAGTGTGGTGGTCGGAGTATAGTAATCATCCAAGTGTGGTGGTCGTTTGTCCTTGCTCAGGAGATGGGAGAGGTATCACCTAAAGAGATTGAATGGAAAAGTGAGAGAACAAAACAAAATAGATAAAATTTTTAGGGCTTCAGGTTCAAATGACGTAATGTCTAAGAATAGCCTAAATCTTTAGGTTTTGGGTTAATTTTACTTTGGTCATCAAAATTTACCCGTTTATTTTCATATTAGTCACCTGTCATGCGTTTTTCTTGTTGTAAAGTTAGAGTCCTGATGTTGCTGTTTTCCATTTTCTTTCATTAGTGTTTTAGGATGATAAATTTTAGGAACAATAACGACAAATCCCCTGAACTTTATGTGTAGTTTTACAAAATAGTCACCATTATGTATTTTCTTCATATATTTTGATTCTGGTGTTATTATTTTATTTTATTTCAATTTCAGTCACTTACTGATTGTTTAATTTATTTACATTAATATTTGATTCGGTCTTGTGGTGACCTGATTTGGGGTAAGACCCACATTATTATGATTTGAACCCTTTTAACATGGTTCTAATTACCGACTCTTCTAACATTTGACTACTAACCACTAACTATTGACTTTTATTTTATTATATTTTTATTTGTAACGCTACAAATCTCTAACTTTTTTATATTATTTGAACCATCGTACGACCTCGCACTGACCCACCCTAGGGTAAAATACGTGTTATTATGGTATGGGTTAAAAATTAAAATACTAACACCTAACATTTATTTTCTTGCAATGATATCTTTACTTCTCTTTTAGTTTAAGTACTTTAAATTATGCATTACATTTCATTTCCTTTAAATTAGATGCAATCTAAATTTCTTGTATTCAAATTTCGATTCTTTGGATTATCTCAATTTACATTTCAGCACATTTATTTATTTATTTTTATTTTATTTATTTATTTATATATTTATTTCTACACTTTAATTTTCTTTTATTTTCATTTTATTACCTTTATTTTTCTTTATTTATATTCAGCACTTTTATTTTCCTTTATTTACATTTCAATCCTTTCAAATTCCAACATTTATTCTTTTGCTTTTTTTTAATTTGAGCTTTATATTCTATTTTATTTTATTTTATTTTGTTCCCTATATTTTATACTCTTTTACCCTATTATATATATATGTGTGTATGTGTGTATGTATGTGTAATTAGTACATATTTTAACATGTTAAATATTATTTTTAGACATATACATACGTAATGCACTTGTGCTATATATATAATTATATTATATTTTATGTACTTATATATTTTTTTCTAGTAAGATTTATGTCTATTATTTTTCATATTAAATATCATTTTATGTGATTAATAAATATTAAAGGGACATTTTTGTGTGAGGAATCCATGGAAAAATCTCCCGACTATAAGGAAAATGTGTTTTCAAAGATTGTTCATACAAAAATGATATCTTTTTATTCAAATGTTTTCTTAATATTTTTTAATATGATCTTATAGTATTTTAGTATTAAATAAAAATTAAGACAATAATCTTTTATATGGGGAATCTATGAAAAGATCTCCCGACTATAAGAGAAGTGCATTTCCCAGGATTGTTCATATAAAGGAATACCGTTTAATTTTTTTCTAAAAAGGATCATAATTCAAAAATAAGTTTAAATTTCCAAAATTTCACTATTCATATGGCATATTATCGCCTAGGTACTAATTTTGGGCGTTGTGGGGGTGATCATCCTTCCCCACGCATAACCGACTCCCGAGCCATTAAAATGAATTTCTAGTTAAACGCAAACTATTTTTATCTTTTAACTTAATTTTTCTAAAAAATATTTTTAAATGTATTTATTAGGTACTCAACCTAGCTAAACCAAATGTCGATGGCGACTCCAAAATTATTATTTTTTTCAAAATCCTATTATTTTCTTAAAGTCGTACAAATATTTTTATTTTGTATAAAAATGGTGTCGACGTTTATATATATTATATATTAGTTAATGATAAAAAATAAAAATAGATAAGTGAAAACTTACACCTAGGCCAATTTGAGAATATGAGAGCACTTAAATCACTAACATAAATCTAGTAGTTTATTTATAATTGGTTTAAGATTTTAATATTTTTAAACTAAATTTATTTTTTCATATTTATTTTTTAATGATTATATATATGAAATCATTAAAAACAATTTAATATTCAAATTATAATTGTAAGAAAAAATATTCAAATTATAATTATAAGAAAAAACAATTTAATTTTAAATATAATTTCATATATTTAATCATTAAAAATAAATATAATTAACTATAAATAATCTATTAGTTTTTTTAGTAATTTAAGATTTTCTTAATTGACCTAATTTAAGTCATCACTTGTCTATTTTATTTCTTTCTTTCTTTTTCTCTATCATTGACTATAATATATATATATATATATATATATATATATATAATTACAATTGATTCCTAAATATTAGATTTAGTTTATTGGTTAATGCTTACTTGGTTACTAATGGATATTGAGTTCAAATGAAATTAAGTTGTTTTCGTTTTTTATTTTTATTTTTATTTTACCTAAATCTAAACAAATTATATAACACATATATTATCTTGTTAACAAAATGTGAGAATTGGATCAGTAATTAAGGCTTGAGCATGCCACCCTTGGGACTTAGGTTTGATTCCCTTGTGTGTCTAAACTCATCCTTTAATTATTCTCGTTAATTCAAAATGTGACACATGTCACATTCTAATTTGATTAAAAAATTATGAAATTAATTAAATTAAAAACCCTTAAAAATCCCTCTAATCAAATAATGACATGTATCACAATTTGATTGGAGAAATAAATTTATTAAATTAAATTAAAATTATGACTAAACCCCTTAAATCGGCAGTCATCAAGTAATTTACCAAAAAAAAAGTTCTTTATTTGAGCTTGTCTCTCTCTCTAAATAGAGTGAGTGAGCCAATGAATCTGTCTCTTGTCAAAAGGCAATAGTGCTTTAACTGGTGTCAATAGTCTCTTCCATTTTCCTTGATCATTTTATAAATTTTCTTCCGTCTCTCCGAGTATTGTCTCCTTGTTCTTTTTCTTTCTTTTACTTTCTCCGACAAAAACATGGGTTCCAACGATTCCGAACTTGTTGTCGATTTATTCCCGTGGCTCAAAGAATACAAAGATGGAACCATCGAAAGAACAGCAGGATTCGAAGTGGTTCCCCCGGGGCTTGATCCCGAAACCAACGTGATATCCAAAGATATTGTCATCATACCCGAATCTGACGTCTCAGCTAGAATTTACCGGCCAAACTTCGTCCCCAACGATCAAAAGCTACCTCTTGCAGTTTATTATCACGGCGGAGCTTTTTGTGTTGCTTCGCCGGCGTCCCCAAACTACCATACCAGCCTCAACAAGCTCGTTGCCGAGGCCAACGTTGTCGTTGTTTCGGTCGGCTATAGGCTAGCCCCCGAGCACCCTCTTCCTACAGCATATGAAGATTCATGGGCTGCACTTCAATGGGTGGTTTCTCACAAGGAAGAAGAAGATGGCAACAATGAAACCTGGATCAAGGATTATGTGGACCTTGACCAGGTTTATTTGGTTGGTGATAGTGCTGGTGCAAACATTGCACACCACTTGGCTCTCCGGATCAAGGATTCGGATCTGAGTCAGAAGTTGAAGATTGTGGGCATTGGGATGATCCACTCTTACTTCTGGGGAACCGACCCGATTGGATCTGAGGTTACCGATCGGGTTCGGAAAGAGCTAGTCGATAAGTGGTGGCTATACGTTTGTCCTTCCGATAAAGGGTGTGATGATCCGCTCATCAATCCGTTTGCAGATGGATCCCCGGATCTTGCAGGGTTGGCATGCCATAGAGTCCTTGTTATTGTTGCAGAGAAGGATATATTGAAGGACAGGGGGAGGTTTTATTACGATAAATTGGTGAAATCTGAGTGGAAAGGAAAAGCGGAGATTATGGAGACTGAAGGTGAGGATCATGTGTTCTATATCTTTAATCCTGAATCCGACAAGGCCAAGAGCTTGTTCAAACGCTTGGCTGCTTTCTTGAACCAAGGCAAGTGAAAAATGTGGGGTTTGACTTGTCTTCTAGTAATAAAATAAAATCAGCTGAGATTTGAGATATACCCATCACTTGATTTTCGTTCCAAAGTATTCTATCGGTCCATTTTTCTTACAACCCTTTGTTTACTTTGTGCAATGCGAATCTACTTTTTCTCTTTTGTTTCTTGTAAAGATTGGATCAATTCAGAATAATTTACACTTGTGATCGCGGCAAATTAAAACTTAATTTTTAAAACTTCAGTGGTCAAATTAATCCACTTGAATCATTGAATTTTTTTAAGTTAATTTGAATAAATAGTTTAAGTTAAATAGTTTGATTTTTTTTACCAACAACTAGTTAGTCTAGTGGTATGAGGCACTAGTCCCCTTAAGTAAGGTGAGAGATTCGAATCATGACATTTACAAATGGTGCAAACTAGGTTGGGAGTGTTGTCCTCGTCTTTGCAGTACCTGATCTGGATTAGTCGATCAATAGATCAGATACCGGTGATTAATTTAAAAAAAAAAAGTTTGAATTTTAAAATTTCAATACTCAAATTAAACTATTTGAATTATTTAGCCATTTGAGTAAATAGTTTAGGTTAAATATTTTGTATATTTGCCAACTCTAATCTATTAATTAATTAATATAAATGAAATAATATTATAAACCTTTAGAACGAGCCTCAAATTCAACCTACTATATGTTTTGATTTAGAAAACTTTCACTAAAGAACTGTACATTTCAAGTTATATTAGTGATTTGTGATTTCAGGTGTACAGATAAATTTTTATAAGGCCCCATCCTCTTCATTTTCACAGTGCCTGTTGTGCAACCCAGACAAAAGGCACTTATTATTTTGTTAAGCTTGCCCTTCTTTCGTGTAAGATTTTTTTTTAGCAAACTGCACTTCAAACTGAAAATCTCAAAATACGATGCAACTATTCTGAAAAACAAGATCCATTATGTGTAGGGTTCGACCCTAACATCAATCATTCCTTTGTCTATTCTAATATGACAAATTCAAATCTCTATATCTATAATCCTTTTTCCTTGTACCAAATTGCCATTTGACCTCTTTAATAACAAGCAGAATCTCAAAACACTGAATATAGGACAACATAAACAAGCTAAACTGCAAATTGAGAATTCTCAAAACTGCCAAAAAAGTAAACAATCTAAAAACATCCTTACGCATATAGGCGAGAGAGAAGCAAACATGGCGAATTTTAGCGAGGCAACTTGATAGTTCACTTGAAACAATTTATCGATGATATCGACATAAATGCAATTCCTGAACTTGGAAAGTTTATGTGGAGGCTAAGGGTATAGAACACGACTGTGTCGAGCATTGTTCTCAAAATTTGAACTATTTTTGAGGACATCAAGTTGGAGGCATGTTCCTCTAAATGCTTCTTGGCATCTTGTTTCCCAACATTTGCTATTGCCAGCTTCTCAGGAGGCAATTCATCTTCCTCTTTCAAGGCTTTATTAAATTTTATTGCTAAATTGAGCATTTCCTGCACATAATAAATTAACTCAACACCATAAATTCCCATTTGGAAGATAATTTGCATCATATAAGGCAGTAAACTTATTTTGAATTCACATTTATACTCTTCGAGAAGCATAAAAATGCAAATTATAACCAAGTATAATGACTAATGAGAACCATAGTCAGTATATCAGAGAATCCAGCTCTTTGTTAAGTGCAGATTAGAGGGTCTTCAAGGGCCTTGCATCAGTGAGGGACAACATAAAGCCAAACATACTTTAGCAATACACAACCACAATTAAAAACATAAAACTATGCTTATAAAGTTAGCAGGAAATCTCCGTTCCCTTTTTTTTTAAGAATTGGAGGCCTCGTTAAAAACTCCTTCATAATCATCAACATACTAAACTATATGTCAACCAAAATTGGAAGGAAGAAAAAAGTACCTCATGATTTATTAAATAATCAAACCAATACACCTTAGAGGAAAAAACGCATCAATCTAGATATAAACACCAAATCAAGAAAAACCAAAAAACCTCTAAGAAACCCCACTCAAACAGCCAAATAAAACAAGGACAGCCCTATCCAATACCAACTCGCACCTATCCCGAGCCTCACATCACTAAAACCAAAATAACCGAAAGCAACACCCAAATCCATTAATGTGAAAAAAAATACACAACCGACTCCAAGAGGCGAACCATCTACATATTTGGAGAAGCAACACAATCCAGTCGATTAAAACTCCTTCAAAAACCGCTAACAGACCAAAGCCCAAGCTTCCTCCAAGACACTTGAGCAACCTTAGCCTTTTGCTTGCTCTTTTTAGATTTGCGTGGTCTCTTTTTCTTCCCGAGCTTTGGGCCCTTCCTAAGATCCTCTCCCTGTAACCGGATTGAAACACATATTGCCCCATTAGAAACCAATAAACCCATACTAAGACCGTCTTCTAGGGCACAAGACTACACAACGTTTTGATTTGATCGATCGAAGACACTAGGCAAGGAATACTCCGAAATTGAACATGGCCTTGAAGCTAAACCAATCTCACCACCAGTGGTTCCACGGCCAGGAACAACTTCCTTCCCCAGCTGATTTGACAAATTTTCCAACGATCCAAGTGGAAAGGAACTCGGTGTAGCCTCATGGGAACTTTGACTGGGAAGAGGAACTTCAATTTGAGTATTAGAGTGGGCCAATGCAGCCATACTCGACTTGGAATTCTCAGATTTGTCGTTGTCAGAGCTAACAGTGTCTTCTTCATCTTCTTCGGGAACCCAAGGAATAGGCTTCAAACTCGGATCGATCTCGTGAACCAGAACTTTAAACGATTGGCCTTCAACCTTCAATCCTACTACCTCGTCAATTCTAAAAGTGGTATTTGTGAAAATTTAGATTTTTGTCCGATCAAAGGACGAAGGATATTGGGAATTTTCATCAATAGCAATAATTTTCCTCCCACTTTGCTTCTATGTTTGTAAAGGTATCCCAGCTCCAAGTATGAAAAGGAATCCCTTCGCAAACCAACCAAATACGCCAACTCTCCACCACCAAGTTTTTTTTTACCATGATTCAAACCTATCGAACCACACTGCCAAAGACTCCAAATTCTTGACCTTCATTTTGTTCATTAACATCGAGTTTTCAAAACATAATAAGGTAACATTTCCAGTAGCTCTCATCAACGAAAAACCATTAAGGCCTTTTTCATGCATCTGTCTAGCAAGGTTCCGAATGGAAGAAAAGTTTCTACACCAACACAGGCAATTTTCCAGCACTCGTAGTTTATCTTCATCAATCACCCCTTTTATCGAGGATAGGATACTCTTCTTGTCAGCCACTTCCCTATCCTTCCGATTAAAGGATCCAGTCTCACCTGAACAGTCTGTTCATAGGTTTGGGAATGGGTATCAAAACGCCTAAGTGTCAATCCATCAGTCCACTTCTTCTTGTGAAGATTCAACAGCATCTTTTCCTCAAGTTCATTCTTCCTATAGTTAACGGCTATAGAGTAATAATGTCTATTGAGTCCATGTATCAATGCCTGACAATGATAAATAATCAGATGAGATATTTCCCAGAAACATACAGGAGTCAGATATTACTTTTTTGGCACTCACTTGGATTGATGGCTTATTAAGATGCCCAACATTGGATGTTGTTTGACGTGGTTCTTGGCCAAGCATCATGGTTTTTGGGTTGATCAAACGGAATGCATCAATCACCACCTTCCCTTTAACACCCCGAATTGGGTCGACCACCACTGCTACAGCCCTTTGATTCAAGGCTTCAAAACTCTGCCAGCAGTGACGGATTTTAACAATAGATAGACTAGCCTTCATTAATCAGAACAGTTAAAGGAAAACAAAACCATAAATGATCTTCACTTAAAAAGATCAAAACGGAAAATATAAACAGGCAGAGGATGGACGAAAAAAACATAAATTTGTTTCTTTCTTGTATAGTGTCTAGTAGAATATACAACAAACGAAAATCTTGTTTCTAGCCTTTCATGATATCCATCAACTGAGACATAGTCAAATATCCATCAACTTTATGATATCCAACCAAAGACAAAAACAAAAAACACTCCTGACAAGAATATGCTTATGATTTCGAACCAAGTAAAAAGGTTAAACACCACGTGCTGTGTGTTTATGTCTACACCAGAAAGCCAACAGCATCCAGGATGTGAATAGTACCAGCCCAACACCATCTCTGGTCTGCAAACCAAGCAAAAAGATCAGCTTACAATCTACAGATATTTGTCATCAAGATGTGGAAAACAATATAATCTTGCCATACATATACCATCTCTTTTCAACTCTTGAGCTTTTCTAAGGACTATAATAAGTTAATATGAATAAACTAGAGAATAATTAATACCTTCCCGTTTGTTTGAGCATGTCAAGCATATTTGTTTGAAAAACATGATCCACTGCTTCGACACTAACACCGGTCCCGCTTTGTGGCATTGCAAAGACATCCACAACACGCACGGTATACTCGTCAACAAACTCTCCCAACATCAAACCCATAACTTCCATGGGAACTCTAGCTCTTCCTGTAAAATATTCACATTTACCAAAAACAGGAAAATAATTACAACAGATCCTCTGATAAAGTTTAAGCTCTTTATCAAATTTGGAATTGAGAAACATAAATGTTTTTCATAGAAAGGGGATGCAAAACAGGCTACAAAATTAAAAATTGTGATCTAATAAACCCTAAACTGCAAAAATCAAAATAGTACAAATCCATCAATTGTTTTTGTTATCTTTCTAAACAAAACTATCAGGCACGGATGCCATAATCAGCTAATCAAGTGATAGGAAACTTCAAATAAGCAGATTTTGAGAAAAGAGATCGAAAATCACCATGCTTGAACATTTTGAGGAGGGCGAGAGAGGAGATGTAGACCTGCTTGGATGAATCGAGAGTCGGGGAATCCGGTGGCGGATGACTCAACGCGCCTCCTGCACCAGTGAACATCCTATGTAACCTCTACATGCCTGACATTATCTATAGGACTTTTAGGAAACTTTACTTCGGTAGCAGTTCAAATGAAGACATCCAAATCTGTATGTTTTTTCTCCCCTTATTCGCTCCGGTGATTGATGCATTGGAACTAGGATTAACTCTAAAATAAGTAACCAAATTATATCAGTTTTCTGAAATAAATGCCCAAACTTATTTTTGAATCATTTAGGTACCTAAAGTTATAAACGTTATCATTTTAAGTGTCCGAGACGTGACAACCGCTAAAAACCTCCGTTAAGTGACATGTATTATGTTCTAATAATTTTAAATTCTTACATTTAAAATAAAAAAATTAATATTATTTTATTTTAAAAAAGCCCTAAACTTTTAAAACTCTTTAAAACAAACTCAAACTTCGAAAACCTTTATTCCAATATCTATACCCACGTCAGACATCCCGTTCGCCGCCGATATCATCGAAGAACCTCTATCTAATTGAATCACCACCGATGACACAATTACCCAATGACAACCATTTGAAGAACCCTAATTGACGATTTAAACCTGATAAAAATAATACCAAAATCGTAAAATTAAAGCTACCCGACGACTCCGACGGCAACCCCGATGACATGAGTAAGGACGAATAACAATAGAGACAAAAAGGACGGTGTCAACTATGGTGGTTGTGATTGGTAAGAGAGGTTAGGGTTAGAGATTTTGGATTTTTAGGGAGTTGAGACTTTTTTATAATATTTGACAATATGGTTTTTTATAAACATAATAATTTAATTTTAAAAATCAAAATTACTAGAGTATGACACATGTCACGTCTTAAGCACCTAAAATGATAATATTTGTAACGTTAAGCACTTGAATAATTTAAATAATGTTTGGACATCTATTTAAGAAAAATGGTATAATTTAGGCACTATTTTATAATTTAACATTGGAATTATGTATAGAAACCACTGATCTGTATAAATACTACAAATTCAATTCTATGGCTTTAACTAAATGGCTTAAATGCCTCATTACCCCTGAACTATACCATTTGTACTGAGTTGCCCCTTAAAATATTTTTTAAGGACATTTTGCCCCCTCAACTATAAATCTTTACCCCATTTACCCCAAAACTGTTAATACTGTTAAAAAATTTCTCGGACCAATCAAAATATGACATGTCATCTTTTAGTTTTAAATTCTTTTTTCTATTAAATAAAAATGAATTTAAAAAATAAAACCTATAGTATGTCAAAAATGCCCTCTTCCACAACCACACCCCCACCCCACCCTCCATCGTAAAGCTTTTTTTCCCCCTGAAAGTTCTGGAATCACAAACCTTATCAAAGAGAGGAGAGGATGAAAGAAAGACTTAGACAGATGAGACAATGGTGGGACGAAGTCTTGCAGGAAGAAGATGAAAGCTCCTATTCTGAAGATAACAACAAAAAGTCTCATTTTCTTTCTCAAATTTATGTCATTTTGGCCCGTCTTTCAAAGTTAAAAATCCATGCATTTATCTGTACATTTTGATTCTTTCATATGAAATCCCTATTTGAAGCTGCAAACTCTGTCTATATTCTACGGTAGAATTGATCAGTTGATTATTTTTGAATCCTTTTGCATGAAAAGCTCCGAACACTGCATCTCTCCCTCGTTACATGTATCCATAACAGATGAGTGATTCATTGCCAAAAGACTAGAGATGCATGGTAAACTATTTTTACACCTACATTCGTTTACTAGGACGATAACTGAGCAATATAAAATGGAAATTGAAGATAATTTTTTTCCCTAATCAATACTTTTGTTTTTCTTTTCTCCATTTTGTATCCCAATCTCTCTCTACATCTTCACAATTTCTAAGAAAGTGAGAATTGAGGTGAAGATTTGGTGGAAGAAAAGGATTTTGGGTAAGGATTTTAGGGTCGGAAAAAGGGTGAATCCATGAAATATGTTTGGAGTATCGGTTGGTATTGGTGTGTTTGCAAAGGTGAAAATGGTGATGATTTTTTATTTATGGTTTGCAGAGAATGGAGTGGGAGGATAGTACTGCTTGTAGAACTTCAATCAACTGTAGAGCTTCCCTTTTACATTCCAGAGCATTGATAGAGTTAAAAAAATTACGGTAGAGGTTTTGGGAGTTGGGTAGGGAAGAAGGGTAATTTCGATAGTGTATTTATTTTATTAATTAATCTTTACTTGTTTAGATAAAGAAAATAAAATTGAAGAGGTGATATGGCGTGTTCTTATTGGTTCATTAAAATTTTTAATGGTGTTAACGATTTAGGAAAAAAGAGATAACAATTTATAGTTGAGAGAACATAATATCTCGAAAAATACTTTAAAATGTAACTTGATATAAATAATATAGTTCAAGAGACAATGGGGGCATTTAAGCAAAACTAAATCTAGTTTCCATTATTTGCACTATGTCTAAACTATATTATTTTCATCCCTAAAGTCTAAACTATTTTAATCATTTTACTTTTAATTGGTTGAAATTATAATTTAATATATTGTTTTTTCATATTAATTAATTTTGTTATCAAAAGTGTTAAAAATCGATTAATATATTATATCTAGAACGTGTTATGTAACACCTCTAATAAAAAAATAAGTATAATTTAGAAACTATATCCTACATTAAACCTCAAATAATATATAATTTTTTTAATTAAAAATACTTCAATTATTAAAATAAATATTCTTTAATTTTAGGCTAAACTAAAAGTTTAGTATAAAACTATCACTCTTATTCTATTTTAATCACCTAGCTATTTTGTTTTTCAAAATCATACCTAGACAGATGTGGGGGGAAGCAATCACCTCCTAAAATTTTAAAATTACCATATATTTTATATTTTTTCTATGTGTTTTTCATTGAAATTTTGTTTTCTCCATTTAGAATTTTATAAGTTTGTCCATTCTTAAAATTTTATAAGGTCGTTCCTCTAACATAAAATCATGCGTCAGTCCCTAACTAGCACTGTGTTTTGGTTTTATTTTAGTCATCTGCTATTAAAAAATTAACAAATTTTTTTAAGTGTACTTTTTTTAAAAAAAAAGGTAAATTAAAAAATTTGGTAACTAAACTTTACTCTTTCTCCTATTCCACTCAATGTACTTTAAATCTTTTTGATTTCCTCATTTAACTTAATACATTGAGGGTTTTTTGTTCACTTAGTTGTTTCCTCACTAATGGCATTATGACGTGGCTTTCTTGTTCTTAACAGAGGAGTGACAAAAAATGTAACACCCCAAATCACGAGTTAGTAGTTTCGGGTTTACCCGAGAGTATATAAAAGGTTGGATAAAAGACACATCATAAAATAGGATTGTTAAATAAAAGACAAAATACGAAGGAACAAAAGAGTAATTATCCCATTGAAAAAAACAAGGTTGAGATTAGGGGTTTTATTACATTTTGGGTGTGATTTTTTGTTCGCTAAAAACCTTCTCTTTGTCTTATTCCTTTCTCTTCTTCTTATTTTCCTCCAAGCTTCATACTCTAGTGGAAGGTAAGAAACTTTCTTTTTCATTTTATTAGACTTGCATCCATTCTTAATCCTTTCTAAAACCTTCTTTGTACTAAGAAAATCTTTAGGTTTCTTGTTGGCTAAAGGAATTAGGTTTAAAGTGCTCAAAGCAAAAGGAGTAGAGAAAACAAGAGTAGTTGAAGAAAGAAGCTTTATTTCGATATTCTTTAACCAAGGTAGTGTATTTCTAATCCTATGGAGTGTTAAGGATTTCATAAGCATGATGATTTGTTAAGATTTATGTATTTGAGGATTTTAGGGGTTTATACTTGATTTCATGATTAAATGATGTTTTAGATGTAAAATGTGTATTTTTATGCCACTTTAAGACCCTAAGTAACCTCCTAAAGCTTTAGTACATGATTAGAAACCAAACTAAGAACTTTGGAATGATTTTAGGGTGTTTTTTGAGGTTAAATAAGAAATTTTAGGTTTTAGTATCAATACTGGATGAACTAGGATGAATTTTGGGCAAATTTAGCTGGGAGTGTCAATACTGCTGGGTAGAGTATCGATATTACCCCTAAAGTATCGATACTAAGGGTACCTAGTATCCATACTGTTCCAAATTTCAATAAACATAAGCCATTTTTTGTATCGATACTCATGAGGGTATCGATACTACAAGTTGAGTATCGATACTTTGGATGGTTATATTTGACCTTGTTAAGGCTTGTAAGAGTTAAGGATGATCTGTAATGGTATAACTTAGTCTGTGAATGACGTAAATGGCCAAAGGGGCCAGAAACACTTGTAAGAGTGGGTTACAACCAAAGTAACCATACTAAGCATGAAACGTCCACATATATTCAGTTAAGCACGCATCGAATAATTAAGAACGAAGATCGTTGCAGAGGATGTACCGACAAGTGGTACGGTATGATAAGTAAGTCATATTAAGTAATAGCAGAAATCATGTTCATCGGGAACTTTAGTGAACCGAGAACATATGAGTAGTCCCTCCAATTCAAGGGGTATTGAGGAAAAGTACAATAAGAATAATTAGAGTGTCACTACCCAGTATTAAACTCGAGTAAGGTATCAGGTTAACTAGTATTACAACCAGTGAACATGAAAATCAATAAATGTCGTAAAATCACGAAACACATAGAGATTTTCTTAGAGATGGAAAACGAATAAAATGCCCTTAAGTAAGGAATGACTTGTATAGAACAACTTAATTGTAACATCCCAAAATAAGGACTAGTGACTTAAATGTAAGTTTTGGAAATTTGAAGTATACTTTCGAAAGATTGGAAAGTTCAGAGACTTAATTAGGAATATTTTAAGGATTATTTGGTAAATATGTAAGGAGGTAAGGGTAAATTGGTCTTTGTAAAGAAAGATTTTTATTATCTCTTTATAAAAGAGATAACCACGTGTAAATGGGAAAGAAAAGTATGGAGAGATAGGGTTCAGTTTATTCTTCTTCCCATGTCTTCATGTATAAGGTGAGTTGGATTTAATTTGCTTGTTTCTTCAATTTTATGGTTTCTTTTGATTCTTGAGTGATAAGAAAGAGTAAGGAAATATTTATGGTGATTAAAACTCTAAAATGAAC